ATTACAGGACATAGATAGATAGATAGATAGATAGATAGATAGATAGATAGATTACAGGACATTAAATGCCATTTCAATAGATAGGCAGATAGATATTAAAGGTCACATTTAGATTGATTGATAGACAGATAGGTATTACAGGACATTAAATGTCATTTTAATAGAGATTGAAGGACACAAGAGTTTTTACAGGACATTAAATGTCATTTTGACATGTTGATATTACATTTAGATAGAAAAGATTTTGAGAAAAAAATACATATTCTGTAAATGAAAATACATCGAGCTAAAACTTTCCTCATTCGGCCTATGCCCTGGAGAGTTTGGGGACACTTTATATTAAGGGTTTTTAAATGCCATTCAAACAAACTACCTCTTCTCCTCCTTCTCCTTATGCCAGTTTCTCAAGAGTCATAGAATAATAGAGTTGGAAGTGACCTTGTGGGCCATCCAGTCCAACCCCATTCTGCCAAGAAGCAGGAAAATTGCATTCAGAGCACTCCTGACAGATGGCCATCCCGTCTGTTTAAAAGCCTCCAAAGAAGGCGCCTCCACCACACACCGGGGCAGAGAGTTCCACTGCTGAACAGCTCTCTGTCAGGAAGTTCAGGTGGAATCTCCTTTCTTTCCTGTAGTTTGAAGCCATTGTTCCATTGCATCCTAGACTCCAGGGCAGCAGAAAACAAAGAGTTGCAGGAAGTTCTTCCTCATATTCAGGTGGAATCTCCTTTCCTGTAGTTTAAGCGATTGTTCCATGCAGGGCAGCAGAAAACAAGCTTGCTCCCTCCTCCCTATGACTTCCCCTTGCATATTTATACATGGCCTTCATCATATCTCCTTTCAGCCTTCTCTTCTTCAGGCTAAACATGCCCAGCTCTTTAAGCCGCTCCTCATGGGGCTTGTTCTCCATCCAGGCCCTTGATCATTTTAGACACCCTGGTGTATATATTTATTTATATACCTAGTGTAAATTTACAAAACAGAAGGATACACACACCCTAAAATGAGTGTGCAATGTGAGGATTGTGTATCCTTTTGTGATTAGTATTACTATTATTATTATTTTAGTCGCCCTGGTGTGTTTATTTCTTTATATACCTACTGTAAATTTACAAAACAGAAGGATATTTATACATGGCCCTCATCATATCTCCTCTCAACCTTCTCTTCTTCAGGCTAAACATGCCCAGCTCTTTAAGCCGCTCCCCATGAGGTTTGTTCCCCATCCAGACCCTTGATCATTTTTTAGTCACCCCAGTGTATTTATGTATGTATTTATTTATATACCTAGTGTAAATTTACAAAACAGAAGGATAAAATGAGTGTGCAATGTGAGGACTGTGTATCCTTTTGTGTTTATTATTATTATTGTCATCCTGGTGTGTTTATTTATAAATAGTGTAAATTTACAAAGGATACACACTCCCCAAAGTAAGTGTACAATGTGAGGATTGTGTATCCTTTTGTGCTTCTTCTTCTTCTTATTATTATTATTATTATTAGTCACCCTGGCATGTTTACTTATTTATATACCTAGTGTAAATTTACAAAACAGAAGGATACACACTCCCTAAAATGAGTGTGCAATGTGAGGGCTGTGTATCCGTTTATAACAACAACAATAATAAACCACCCTGAAGTGTTTATTTATTTATATACCTAGTGTAAATTTGCAATAGATACACACTCCCCAAAGTGAGTGTGTTGTGTGAGGGCTGTGTATCCATGTTCCAGAAGCATTTTCTCCTGGCAGGCATCCTCAGAAGTTGTGAGGTATACTGGAAACTAGACAAGGGGAGGTTTATAAATCCAGGATGGGAGAAAGAATTCTTGTCTGTTGGAGACAAGTGTGAATGTTGCAATTAATCACCTTGATCAGCATTGCAAAGCCTGGCAGCTTCAAGGCTTTTGTGTTTATTATTATTATTATTATTATTTTAGTCGCCCTGGCGTGTTTATTTATTTATATACCTACTGTAAATTTACAAAATTGAAGGATATTTATACATGGCCCCCATCATATCTCCTCACAGCCTTCTCTTCTTCAGGCTAAATATGCCCAGCTCTTTAAGCCACTCCTCATGGGGCTTGTTCTCCATCCAGACCCTTGATCTTTTTTTAGTCACCCTGATGTATTTATTTATTTATATACCTAATGTAAATTTACGAAATAAAAGGATACCCACTCCCTAAAATGAGTGTGCAATGTGAGGACTGTGTATCCTTTTGTGTTTATTATTATTATTAATATTATGTACCTTTTTGTAATTATTATTATTATTATTATTTTAGTCACCCTGGCGTATTTATATACCTAGTGTAAATTTACAAAACAGAAGGATACTCACTCCCTAAAATGAGTGTGCAATGTAAGGACTGTGCATCCTTTTGTGTTGTTTATAGTAATAATAATAAAAAATAATAATCACAAAAGGATACACAGTCCTCACATTACACACTCATTTTATGGAGTGGATATCCTTCTGTTTTGCTAATGCAAGATACTCCACTTTGGCAGGAAAAACGAAATGCAAAGATACAAAATGGGGGACAATGCCTGGCTTGAGAGCAGTACGTGGGAAAAAGATCTTGGAGTCCTCATGGACAACAAGTTAAACATGAGCCAACAATGTGATGTGGCGGCAAAAAAAGCCAATGGGATTTTGGCCTGCATCAATAGGAGCACAGTGTCTAGATCTAGGGAAGTCATGCTACCCCTCTATTCCGCTTTGGTTAGACCACACCTGGAATATTGTGTCCAATTCTGGGCACCACAATTCAAGAGAGATATTGACAAGCTGGAATGTGTCCAGAGGAGGGCGACTAAAATGATCAAGGGTCTGGAGAACAAGCCCTATGAGGAGCGGCTTAAGAGCTGGGCATGTTTAGCCCGAAGAAGAGAAGGCTGAGAGGAGATATGATAGCCATGTATAAATATGTGAGAGGAAGCCACAGGGAGGAGGGAGCAAGCTTGTTTTCTGCTTCCTTGGAGACTAGGACGCGGAACAATGGCTTCAAACTACAAGAGAGGAGATTCCATCTGATCATGAGGAAGAACTTCCTGACTGTGAGAGCCGTTCAGCAGTGGAACTCTCTGCCCCAGAGTGTGGTGGAGGCTTCTTCTTTGGAAGCTTTTAAACAGAGGCTGGATGGCCATCTGTCAGGGGTGATTTGAATGCAATATTCCTGCTTCTTGGCAGAATGGGGTTGGACTGGATGGCCCATGAGGTCTCTTCCAACTCTTTGATTCTATGATTCTATAATAATAATAATAATAATAATAATAATAATAATAATAACAACAACAACAGGGAGTGGATATTCTTCTGTTTTGCAAATTTACACTAGATAAATAAATAAATAAATATACCAGGGTGACTGAAATAATAATAATAATAATAATAATAATAATAATAATAGGGAGTGGGTATCCTTCTGTTTTGCAAATTTACACTAGATAAATAAATAAATAAATATACCAGGGTGACTGAAATAATAATAATAATAATAATAATAATAATAGGGAGTGGGTATCCTTCTGTTTTGCAAATTTACACTAGATATATAAATAAATAAATATACCAGGGTGACTGAAATAATAATAATAATAATAATAATAATAGGGAGTGGGTATCCTTCTGTTTTGCAAATTTACACTAGATATATAAATAAATAAATATACCAGGGTGACTGAAATAATAATAATAATAATAATAATAATAATAGGGAGTGGGTATCCTTCTGTTTTGCAAATTTACACTAGATATATAAATAAATAAATATACCAGGGTGACTGAAATAATAATAATAATAATAATAATAATAATAATAGGGAGTGGGTATCCTTCTGTTTTGCAAATTTACACTAGATAAATAAATAAATAAATATACCAGGGTGACTGAAATAATAATAATAATAATAATAATAATAATAGGGAGTGGGTATCCTTCTGTTTTGCAAATTTACACTAGATATATAAATAAATAAATATACCAGGGTGACTGAAATAATAATAATAATAATAATAATAATAATAGGGAGTGGGTATCCTTCTGTTTTGCAAATTTACACTAGATAAATAAATAAATAAATATACCAGGGTGACTGAAATAATAATAATAATAATAATAATAATAATAGGGAGTGGGTATCCTTCTGTTTTGCAAATTTACACTAGATATATAAATAAATAAATACACCAGGGTGACTGTAATAATAACAATAACAATAATAATAATAAATTTACACTAGGTATATAAATAAGTACGCCAGGGCAACTGAAATAATAATAATAATAATAATAATAATAATAATAATAATAATATGGAACGCCCTCCCCATGGAGGTAAGATCAGCCCCCTCATTGATGGTTTTCCGGAAAAGACTAAAAACCTGGATGTTCGAGCAGGTGTTCGGTTAACTCAGTGCAATAAGTGTAATAATGATTGAAGGACTGGCAATTTGGACGATGAAACTGGATCACGATTTTAGTCAAGAGATGAATTGGGTTGTTTATTGATATATGTATTGTGGATTGTGTTTTTATGTTTTTAAACTGTATACTGTTGTTTGTTATAAGTTGTTGTAAACCGCGTTGAGTCGCCGGCTAGGCTGAGAAACGGCGGTATACAAGTATAGCAAATAAATAAATAAATAATAATAATAATAATAATAGGGAGTGGGTATCCTTCTGTTTTGCAAATTTACACTAGGTATATAAATAAATGAATACACCAGGGTGACAATAATAATAATCATCATCATCATCATCATCCTGGTGTGTTTATTTATTTATATACCTAGTGCAAATCTGCAAAGGATACACACTTCCCCAAAGTGAGTGTGCAGTGTGAGGTCTGTGTATCCTTTTGTGTTTCCTTTTTTTTATTTACAGGAGGCTCTCAAATTGGGAGGAGGAAATAGGGTGTTAATTATCTGTGTGGGTGCAAAAAAAAAAAAGGCGGGAAAAGTGGGCTCAGAACGTTCAGTGTCAGCTGACCTTGTTTTGCCGCCTTTCCGTGGAGAGGAGACGCGTTGGCTTCCTTCTTTTCCTCCTCTTTCTCCTTCTCCTGCTTCTGTTTCTTCTTCTCGGCGCCTCGGCCGTACCAGAGCCAGGCCAAGAGGGCCGCCACCAAGGCCACCACCCAGGCCGGCCAGAAGCCCACAAGGGACGAGCCTTCGCCGCTTTCACCTGCCGCGGTGGCGTCCTCCTGCTCCTTTCCCAGGGCCATGGCCGGCCTCAGGTGAGAGAGCAGCCCGAGAGAAGAGCCCAGCCGAGGGAGGGAGAGGCTTTGCGCCGCCTTATAGCCACCTTTAGGCCTTGCCCTCTGGGAGGAGCCACCTTCCCTCCTCCTCCTTCCCTCCTCCTCCTCCAATGGGATGAGCAGCATCACTGTGGGAATCCATCCAGGCCTGGCCAAACTTGGGCCTTCTCTCCAGGTGTTTTGGACTTCAACTCCCATCATTCCTAACAGCCGGTAGGCTGTTAGGAATGGTGGGAGTTGGAGTCCAAAACACCTGGAGAGAAGGCCCAAGTTTGGCCAGGCCTGGATGGATTCCCACAGGTGGGAGTTGGAGTCCAAAACACCTCTCTCAACCTTCCTAATGCTGCCACCCCTTAATACAGTTCCTCATGTTGTGGGGACCCCCCCAACCATAACATTATTTTTGTTGCTACTTCATTACTGTCATTTTGCTACTGTTGTGGATTGTAATGTACAAACCTCCTGTTCGTGTGCACGGAGTGTCTTTCGCCTTTTCCGTCAAAGTGGTACCTATAGATCTACTCACATTTGCATGTTTTCCAACTGCTAGGTTGGCAGGAGCTAGGACTAACAGCAGGAGCTCACCCCGTAAAGTGGATTCAAACTGCCAACCTTTTGAACAGTAGTTCAGCAGCCCAAGGGTTTAACCCATTGCACCACCCACGGCCCCTATTTAAAGTTTTTCAGCATTGTAGAATATTTGGTTTTTTACTATGTACTGTTTTTAATGTTTGTATTTTCATTCACTGGACCAAATTTGGCACAAATACCCGATACGCCCGAATTTGGATACTTTTGGTGTTGGGAGGGGATTGATTTTGTCATTTGGGAGTTGTAGTTTATTTATTATTTATTTACTTATTTATTTACTTTGCTTATATACCGCTGTTCTCAGCCCGGGGGCGACTCACAGGGTGTCACAACATAGAATCCCTAGTTGGTGGGATTTATAGTTCACCTACAATCAAAGAGCATTCTGAACTCCACCAATGATGGGATTGAACCAAAATTGGCACACAGAACTCCCATGACCAACAGAAAATGCTGGAAGGGTTTGCTGGGCATTGACCTTGAGTTTGGGACTTGTAGTTCGCCTACATCCAAAGAACGCTGTGAAACAATCCAGAGAGCACCGTGGACTCAAACAATGATAGATCTGGACCGCACTTGGCACAAACACTCAATATGCCCAAATGCGAACACTGGTGGAGTTTGGGGAAAATAGACCTTGACATTTGGGAGTTGTACTTGCTGGGATTTGTAGTTCACCTACATCAAAGAGGATTCTGAAATCCACCAATGATGGAATTGAACCAGACTTGGCACACAGAACTCCTATGACCAACAGAAAATGCTGCAAGGATTTGCTGGGCATTGACCTTGAGTTTGGGAGTTGTAGTTTACCTACATCCAGAGAGCACTGTGAAACAATGATAGATCTAGACCAAACTTGGCACGAATACCCAATGCGCCCAAATGCAAACACTGATGGCATGAATACCCAAATGCGAACACTGGGGGAGTTTGGAGGAAATAGACCTTGATGTTTGGGAGTTTTAGTTGCTGGGATTTATAGTTCACCTACAATCAAAGCACATTCTGAACCCCACCAACGATGGGATTGAACCAAACTTGGCACACAGAACTCCCATGACCAACAGAAAATGCTGGAAGGGTTTGGTGGGCATTGACCTTGAGTTTGGGAGTTGTAGTTCACCTGCATCCAGAGAGCACTGTGAAACAATGACAGATCTAGACCAAACTTGGCACGAATACTCAGTGCCCCAAATGCAAACACTGATGGCATGAATACCCAAATGTGAACACTGGGAGAGTTTGGGGAAAATAGACCTTGATGTTTGGGAGCTTTAGTTGCTGGGATTTGTAGTTCACCTACAATCAAAGCGCATTCTGAACCCCACCAACGATGGGATTGAACCAAACTTGGCACACAGAACTCCCATGACCAACAGAAAATGCTGGAAGGGTTTGCTGTACTTTGACCTTCAGTTTGGGACTTGTAGTTCGCCTACATCCAGAGAGCACTGTGAAACAATGATGGATGTGGACCAAACTTGGCCCGAATACTCAATACGCCCAAACAAAAACACTGATGGAGTTTGGGGAAAATAGACCTTAATGTTTGGGAGTTGTAGTTTCTGGGATTTATAGTTCATCTACAATCAAAGAGCATTCTGAACTCTACCAGCGATGGAATCGAACCAAACTTGGCACACAGAACTCCCATGACCAACAGAAAATATTGACCTTGAGTTTGGGAGTTGTAATTCACCTACATCCAGAGAGCACTGTGAAACAATGTGTTGGAGTTCAGTCTGTGATTGTGTTTAAGGATCAGGGTCCTTTGGATGTTGGGAATGATGACAATGAGGTTCATGCAGGTAATGGTGTTTCCAATGATGAGGTGGCTAGTTTTTATTTTATTTTTTTGTCGTGTCAAGAGCGACTTGAGAAACTGCAAGTCACTTCTCCCAACCCTGTTATATGCCTGTGAAACGTGGACTGTCTAAAGATGTCACACTCAACTCAGCAGACTGAAAGCCAAAACTATGGTCACAACAACATTTGTTCCAGAATTCCGATATGCCGATAATAATGTAGTCTGTGCGCATTCAGAAGAAGACCTACAAGCCACTCTAAACACCTTTGCAGAAGCATATGAGAAGCTCGGCCTCTCATTGAACATCGAGAAAACCAAAGTGCTCTTCCAGCAGTCACCAGCCAATCCCTTTGCAATGCCAGAAATACAACTTAATGGTGTAATGTTAAAAATATTGACCATTTCTACTACCTTGGCAGCCACATCTCCACAAAAGTCAACATCGACACTGAAATACCACAATGCCTGAGCTCTGCGAGTGCAGCGTTTTTCCACGAAACAGAGAGTGTTTGAGGATTGGGATATCCATAGAAATACGAAGGTCCTCGTTTATAAAGCTATTGTCCTCCCAACCCTGCTATATGCCTGAGAAACGTGGACTGTCTACATATGTCACACTCAACTCCTGGAATGGTTCAATCAGCATTGCCTACAAAAAAAAAATCCTGCAAATCTCTTGGGAAGACAGGCAGACAAACATCAGCGTGCTGGAAGAAGCAAAGACCACTAGCACTGAAGCAACTCTTCTATGCCATCAACTTTGCTGGACTGGCCACATTGTCCGAATGGCCGATCACCACCTCCCAGAGCAGTTACTCTACTCCCAATTCAAGAACGGAAATGTTGGTGGACAGGGAAAGAGATTTAAAGATGGGCTTAAAGCCAACCTTAAAAACTTTGGCATAGACAGCAAGAACTGGGAAGCTCTGGCCTTTGAGTGCTCTAACTGGAGGTCAGCTGTGACCAGCAGTGTTGTGGAATTCGAAGAGGCACGAATAGAGGGCAAAAGGGAGAAAAGTGCCAAGAGAAAGGTGCATCAAGCCAACCCTGACCAGGACCGCCTTCCACCTGGAAACCAATGTCCTTACTGCAGAAGAACATGCAGATCAAGAATAGGGCTCTACAGTCACCTACAGGCTCACTGCCAAGACACTACACTTGGAAGGCCATCATACTTGGACAATGACAGATCGCCTAACAACAAGAAGAATTCAGTTTAAAGCAGATAATCTGGATTTTATATGGCAGTGTAGAAGGGGTTTCTGAATTGCATCATACAAATTTAAAGGTGGGGGTGGCAATTTGTTTTTTAAGAGATCAGATCTGCTTGCTAGGCTTCAGAAAAAGCCTCAAAACATTAGGTTGTTGTAGGTTTTTTTGGGCTATGTGGCCATATTCTAGAGGCATTCTCTCCTGACGTTTTCAAGTAAACTTTTGGCTGATTGGATCTATTGCAATTAGATGTTGCCACCCGGATGGCTTCTAGGAACCCTTGATTTTAGGATTTTATAGTTTTATTTTATAATAACAATAATAACACTATATTTATATTCCTCCCTTCTCCTCAAGGGGACTCAGAGCGGATTACAGTATATAAACAGACACAGGCAAACTCAATGCCTTTTTACAGTGAATACAATGAAACACAAACAATGCAGACAAAGCAAAGGCTTCTTCTTTTATTTCCAGTTCTGGAAGCAGTACACAACTCCAGTTCTTGGGGGAGGTGCTCATCTCCATTTCCAAGCTGAGGAACCTGCATTGTCCATAGACACCTCCTGTTCGTGTGGCCGGCATGACTGCATGGAGCATCTTTCAACTGCTAGGTTGCCTTCTATATGCCTGCATATGTCTAAAGACGTCACATGCAATTCCTGGAACAATTCCATCAGCGCTGCCTCTGAAAAATCCTGTAAATCTCTTGGGTGGACAAGTGGACAAGTGGACAAACGTCAGTGTGCTGGAAGAAGCAAAGACCACCAGCACTGAAGTGATGGTCCTCCGCCATCAACTCCGCTGGACCGGCCACGTTGTCTGGATGCCTGACCACCGTCTCCCAAAGCAGTTGCTCTACTCCGAACTCAAGAACGGAAAACAGAATGTTGGAGGGCAGGAAAAGAGATTTAAAGATGGGCTCAAAGCCAACCTTAAAAACTCTGGCATAGACACTGAGAACTGAGAAGCCCTGGCCCTTGAGCGCTGCAGCTCGAGGTCAGCTGTGACCAGCAGTGCTGTAGAATTTGAAGAGGCATGAATGGAGTGCTAAAGAGAAACATGCCAAGAGGAAGGCGTGTCAAGCCAAACCCAACCAAGACCGCCTTCTACCTGGAAACCAATGCCCTCACTGTGGGCAAAGATGCAGATCAAGAATAGGGCTCCACAGCCACCTACAGACCCACCGCCAGTACAGTGATCCTTGAAGACTATCCTACTCGGACAACGACGGATCGCCTAAGAAGAAGCTAGGTTGGCAGAAGCTGGGCCTAATAGTGGGAGCTCACCCCGCTCCCCAGATTCGAACAGCTGACCCTTTGGTCAGCAAGTTCAGCAGCTCAGCACTTTCACCTGCTGTGCCACAGAGGGCTCCTATATGGGAATATTTTAGGTAGAATTAATTGTGGAACGTAAATCATCA